GGGGGGGGGGGGGGGGGGGAGAGGGAGGGGGGGGAGGGGGCGGGGGGATGGTTAGGAGGAAAGAAAGGGCTTTGCAGAAAGAAGGGGTGCCCAGATCAGAAGACCAGCTGGCCAGGAAGACGGGCTTTGGAGAGCCAAATCTTTCCAGTCTCTGGCGTCTTGGGCAGAAAGGCAGAGACTCCAGGCAAAGGTGGGATGTGAGGCGACACACCCATGTTGAAGATTTCCTCAACACGCAGCCCTTCTCTTGTTTGGCACAGGGGAGATGGACAAGCTACCCACCGCTTCATTTTATCTGAGAATTGAAAACAACACAGAGGCAGGGTGAAAGGACTTTCCTGAAGAGGGGAGAAAAGGTTTTGCTGGTGGCCTTGAAACTGGAGGAGCCCTTGGTAAACCTGGCAAGAAAACACGAGCCGTTTGGCTCCTCTTGGCTGCAGGTTCCATCTCAAAGCTCTAAGCAGATGCCAAGCAATTGATCTCACATTTTAGGTTTTGGAGCTTGGATTCAGGTTCCCATGACAGAAATGCATAGAATTCTCACCGTTAATTGGCAACCATGCCCGTGGCTGGTTTGCAAACCAAGAGACAAACAGAGGAATGCCATTTGATATTTAGACAAAATTCAATAACCTTCCTTTTTGCTATCTACCTCCCCTTGCTCATTCAAGCCTTTAGTCATAGAGGTAAGAGTATCTTTAAGGGTCCTTATAAATCTGCACATTTTTATTTCTACCTTATTTATCAAAATTTTTGCTGATCCTTCTCGTCCTTCTTTTCACCAGTCCCCAACACCTTTTTCTAATGACACTTAAGGATTCAGGAGTTTTACAGATAATCCCAATAAATACAGTACCTTCATTTAAAAAACCTACAACTGCTAAGCCTATTATCATTTTTGGTGTTCTCAAGGTTTCTATAATGCCTTCTGAGTGATTAAAGCACTTTTGACGCACTCTCTCCATTATCTTTACAACAGCCCTGCAAGGAAGGTCCACCTTCTGAACTGCAGATGTTCACTGGGGTAGGATTTGAGGCTGCCTAACACCATCCTGGGCTTTTTTTCCACAGCTAAGAGCTGAGCTGGGATCTTCTCAAGATGCAGTTCATACTCTACCTGTGACTACACTCATTTTCAAAACATGATTCAAAGCCCAAATGGCCATTTTTTGAAATGGACATCAGGCTTGGCTACAGATACATCATTGGGGGTTCAAGAAGAGCCGCATCCTGGAAACGGCCATCTCTGCATCAAAGCGCCAGCGCAGTCTGCATAACTGATAGAATTTCGCTCGTGTTCCAGCTCATTTTTGGTGAGGAGAACAAGATGGGCCTAATCAATGGCATTTGGAGCTGTTACCTGTAAACTTGAGTAACTGAAGAATGATTGATCACTAAGCTAGAGGCTGAGGCCTCAAACACATGGCAGAAATTAATACATCCTCCCTACTGCAAACACATTACATGGAGGCAAACCTTCAGCAACATTTCTTTAGTCTGTCTGTCACATCAGCCCTGTGGGCATAACCAGGGGAACCCACAGGTGAAAATAGATCTGCAAGAAACGTGCAGTAGGTTCTTTGAAATGCTTGTATTCCAAGACAGCAAACACACATGATAAAAATAAAAACACTGAACGAAACATGGCTGTAGCAAGGAACTAGTGCCACGGTTATAAAAAAGAACTAAAATTGCCAATTGTAGGTGGTGCAAGAACTAAAGCTAGGAGCTCAATGCCAATTCTGCAAAGCCAAAAGCTGGCTGGTGGACGTTCCTTGCCCAGGAGCATCCAGCAGAAGGGGTGGAAATGAGAATCTGCCACCAAGTCCCACCTTTATTTATTAGGAACTCAGCTATGCAAATGGTTGTTTTATTGATAACATTTTCAGAGGGGAAAAGGCTCTCAGGACAGCTTAAATTCAATCGATGGTGTGTGTGTGGGGGGGGAAGCCCCTGTTTGCAGCTTTCTAATTGGAAAGACTTAAAAAAGAAGGGAAAAAGCATTGTAAGGAAGGGGGTGGGGGGCATTAAAAAGAAGCAGAGGCTGCAGTTTTTAAAGTGAAGTTCTGATATCAACCAGTAACTGACTGGCCTGAGTTCAAAACATCTGAAGGGGTGGTCATGCAGCAAGACCAATGGCCTGGCCCTACTTTCCTGCTCACTCCTCCGGCCTGATTAAATGGCAGCTTCTACTAAGCGATAGCTGAGGGACAGAGGTGGCCTTTCTTATTCTGGATTGTCCTACCTCAGGAGGCCCAATTATCTCATTTGGCATTCTGACGCAAAGTCCCTCTTATCCTGCCTTGCTGTTCATTTTTGCTCAGCAGTACCTCACTGACCTTGGCTGACCTTGAAAAATGTGAAATGGGGACCGCTTCGATGGGGCACCACCAGAGAATCCCAAGGCTGCATGTTCAACAGAGAAGTCCAAAGGTCATCTTGGAAGGCAGTGGCAAAACCCTTCTGGGCTGCTGCCAAGAATAGACAGGAGGAGTGAAGCCGGGCGTGGGGAACCCTGTCCTGTTACCGGCTTGTTTCGTCTTCCTGCCCTCTGTTTGGAGAAAGTGGGGCTCTGTTTAACTCTTAACTGGTTTAACTGTGCCATGAGTAACCCTGCGTTGGACCACACTGCAGGCTTAGCATCGAGAAACAAAGCAATTGCAAACCACAGAACTTCAAGTCTTGGATGCTCAACAGATGCTCAAGAACAGAAGAGTTCTTGCCCACAAACTCACAATCTAGCAATCTGCAAAATGAAAAAAGAATATGATGGTGCAGCTGGTTTTCCTTTTAGGTGAGCAATTTTCTCACAACAGGAAGCAAAACACAAGCTAAGGCAATGGTCCCATGACAGACTGAGTTCCATAAAGTCACTGGTCTTCTTTTTTAATGAGCTGGGCCCAAAACACTTTCTTTCTTTTATTACCAGGGGTGACATCGGAAGTTGGTATACTGGTGCAGAAAGCGTTTTTCACATGCGTGATTTTAGTAACGCTTGTATCTCCTCCACTACTACGTGTGCCTAATGTCAGCCAAGGAACCCTGCTTAAGTCTGGTCCAGTAGATCAAGCCATGTTTATGTATTTATTGATTCAGTTTATATGCCACATTTCCTCCAAGAACTCAAGACAACCTGCATAGCCCTCTGCTCCCTTTTTCCCACAACAGCAACCCTGCGAGGGAGGCTGGGCTGAGAGACAGTGGCTGGCCAAAAATCCCCCAGTGTCAGCCCTACAAGGTAGACAGGCCAGGAAACTGATTCCACAAGCAGCCTAGAACTCTACTGAAGTAGGCTATATAGCACTGTTTCTCAACCTTGGGAACTTTAAGATGGGTGGACTTCAACTCCCAG